GTGTGAGGCCCAGTAGCTTCCTTGCACCTCCTCCCCCCCAGTGACGGCACCGAGAAGAAAGTGCTTGCGTCTTGGGAGCAGAACTAGTAGTAAGAGAACAGAAGTAGAAATGCAATTTTTTTTTCTTTGAGACAGGGTTTCTCTGTGGCTTTGGAGGCTGTCCTAGAACTCGCTCTGTAGACCAGGCTGGTCTCGAACTCACAAAGATCCGCCTACCTCTGCCTCCTGAGTGCTGGGATTAAAGGCGTGCGTCACCACTGCCCAGCTGAAATATAATTTTTAACTACATCTCTGTCTCTCTGTATGTTAAAAAATCAATGAACAATTTTGTTGTTGTTTAATCTTGGGGCTGGAGATGTTGCTGGTCGTTAAGAGGACATACTGCTTGCAGAGGACTTAAGCAGTTCCTAGCACCCATGTCAGGAGGCTAAGACCGACCTCTAGTTCCCATTCCAGGGCGTCTGATGCCCTCTTCTGGACTTAATGGGCTCCTGCACTCACACAAGCCCATACCCTTCCCTCTCCCCACCACATACACAGAACTTAAAAGTATTTGTTTAATCTTAACAATTTCGTCTTAGAAAGAGGTTTAAAAAAGCAACAACAAAGAAGCTAAATATCAGAGGAATAAAGTGTCACACTCCAGGTTGCAGAGCCAGTTAATGGCAGAGCTGGATTCAAACACGAGTCCTCAGCTTTCTGTCTAGGGCTCAGCTCGTTTGCTCACAGAAGCACTCTGATTGAGGACATGCTCAGGGGCTGGCATGGAGTCAGACGAGTTAAGTCTCCCACTGTTCACAGCCCCTAGTGCTGGAGGACACACATGTCAACACACCTTTATAATGTAATGTGGTGGTATATAACCACGTCATTATGTGAAGTTTGGAAATGAGAGTTGTTTTTAGCCACAATCAGTTAAGACTGTTTTCTTTCCATTTTACTTCCCCATCATTGAACTTTCACTAATGTCAGGCAGCCCTAGAATAGTTGTGGGCTCCTGTGATATGGCTACAGAGTAGTGAAGAAGACGGCGTGTGGTATATCTAGTAGTAGGATATATCTAGGTTTTCAGTCACTCCCAATATAGTTGTTATTGTTAGCTATCCTTGCGTAGGATTGGAGTAACAATGAATACCCCATTAATTAAAAAGAAGGCAGACATAGAAGGCAAAGAGAACATAAACAGATGAGACAAAAACACAGCAAAAGGTAGATCTAACATAAGTATATCAATAATTACATTACATGTAAACGGTCTAAATATTTCAACAAAAGGGAAGAGATTGTCAGATTACATTGAAAACCATAAGACGTGGGGATCTGGAGAGATGGCTCAGTCATTGAAAACACTGGCTGCTCTGCCAGAGTACTTGGGTTGGATTCCAAGCACTCATACAGGTGGTACGCAATGGGTGTAACTCCAATTCCAGGGGAGTCAATGCCCTCTTTTGGCCTCTCTGGGCACTGTGTACATGTGGTGAGCAGGCATATATGCAGGCAAAAGCATCCATACACACAGGATAAAATAAAACAACAAAAAACAAACAAAATGTAAGCTTCAAAAACACGGTGTTTATAAGTAATATATTCTAACAGTATAAACACACAGACAAAAAAAGCACAAGGATTGCACAAGATACAGTGTGCTAAAATTAATCAAAAGAAAGTGGATTTGGGAGCAAAGAACACTGCTATTGTATTCCTTACTCTCCTTTTTTTCTGACAAAAGCAACCTAAGGAATGAAAGGTTTATTTTGGCTCACGGTTTGCGGGTACAGTTCGCTATGGTGGAGAAGGCATGGCAGCTGGTCACATGATGTCCATATTCAGAAAGCAGAGCATTAACAATCAAGACTAGCCATCGCCTTTATCAAGGATAAAAGACAATAGTTACACAATGATAACAGGATCATTTAGTTAATCAGCCATAACAATTCTACATGACTGTACACTTAATTATAAAGAATCAAACTATGTGAAACAAAACCCAATAAAACTTCAAAGAGAAATTAACAAATACACAGTTATAGTAGATTTCAATATCTCTTTTATCTGCAACTTAATTAAAATTTTTTTTTTTTGGTTTTTTCGAGACAGGGTTTCTCTGTGGCTTTGGAGGCTGTCCTGGAACTAGCTCTTGTAGACCAGGCTGGTCTCGAACTCACAGAGATCCACCTGCCTCTGCCTCCCAAGTGCTGGGATTAAAGGCGTGCGCCACCAACACCTGGCTCCTTACTGATAATTTAACCTTTATGTTCCACCAAATATAGAGAAAGGAGATATTGATGCCAGTTAATTGTGCCACACGCCTTTAATCCCAGCACTCGGGAGGCAGAAACATGCGGATCTCTGTGAGTTTGTGGCTAACCTGGTCTACAGAGTGAGTTCCAGAATAGTCCTGGCTAGTACTACACAGAGAAACCCTGTCTTGAAAAAAAATTAAATAAAGCCGGGCATTGGTGGCGCACGCCTTTAATCCCAGCACTTGGGAGGCAGAGGCAGGCGGATCTCTGTGAGTTCGAGGCCAGCCTGGTCTACAAAGTGATTTCCAGGACAGCCTCCAAAGCCACAAAGAAACCTTGTCTCGAAAAAACCAAAACAAACAAACAAACAACAATACAGAGAAACCCTGTCTCATAAAAACCAAAAAAAAAAAAAAATTATCAGTAAGGACTAAAAAGACTGGGATAATACTATCAATTGACTTTACCACTTTCTCTCTCTTTTTTCCCAAATAGGGTCTCACTGTGTGTGTGTGTGTGTGTGTGTGTCTGTGTGCCTGTCTGTCTGTCTTTCTGTCTGTAGGTGTGGATATGTGAATGCCACAATGTGTGTGGAGGACAGAGAAAAAGTGAGAACATGTGGGTCCCAGGAATTGAAGTGAGGTCATCAACCTTGGTGGCAGGTATCTTTATTTGATGAAATATCTTGTTGGCTCAATAATACACTTTTAATTAGACTATAGAGCCAGGTGGTGGCAATGGGAGGCAGAGGCAGAGGCAGAGGCAGGAGGATCTCTGTGAGTTCGAGGCCAGTGTGGTCTACGAAGCCAGTTCCAGGACAGCTAGGGTTGTTACACAGAGAAACCCTGTCTCAAAAGACTAAAAACAAAACAAAAAAACAAAACAAAACCAAAATACCACAAAACTATAGATTAGTAGTTCTCAACCTTCCTAATACCTTTGAATACTGTTTCTCATGTTTTGGTGACAGCCAGCCATAAAATTATTTTTGTTACTACTTCATAACTCTGCTGTGAGTCATAGTGTAAATATATGATAGCAGGATATCTCATATGTGACCCGTGTAAAAGGGTCATTTGACCCAGTTGCGACTCATGGGTTAAGAACCGCTGCCATAAATCAAGAAAATCCATGAGAACAAGGCAAGGCCCGTTAGCCTAGCCTACAACGGGCAAGGTCCCAGGCCAATTCTAACCCCAACCCCACCTTAAACAAAAGAAGTGAAAGATGCCACAGGAATGACACCAAACGTTGTCTTTTGACCTCCACATATTGGAGCACCCACCACCCAACATATACCCACTCACACATGAACACATACCCTACCACTCCAAAACAGTGCAACCAATATGGTTATTTTTTCAAAAAGACAATTTGAGGGCTGACCTGTGACTCAGTTGGTAGAGCGCTTGCTTGGTCTACACACACAAAGCCCTACGTTAAATCTCCCACACCACATCAAACAGGCATGCCTGTAATCCCCGCACTTGCCAGTAGAGGCAGGAGGACAGGGAATTCACAACCTCTCCTGGGCACCTAACAAGATAGTGTGAGGGCTGGGATGTAGCTGTGTGACCGAGTACTTGTCTAGGCCACAGAGTCATTGACAGCTTCACAAAAAGAAGATAATCTGAGTATCTGTAAGATTCACCACATGCCTCTGGTGTCACAGGAAAAAGTAAGCCATGGTTTATGGCGGCCTCATGGCATTCTGCCAGATTGAGAATTCCCCTTCCCTGCAAGATCTGACAGTCCCTGGATGTGTCTCATCTGCACTTGGAAAGTGGTCTCACATGTCATTCGCCGTCACTGACACCTAGGTATCTGTTGAGCCAAGCCAGATGAACCAGATGCTCTGTGACTGGCTGCTGCACTCTGTGACTGGTTGTTTATGACACCCATGGGTGGGTACCTGCGGCTCCGACTGTGAAGGTCTCACTCTTAGTGTGCTCTGAGAGCATGGCCATGCAAGCGACCAAGAGAAGACCTTTGTTGTCACCAGAGGTCCCCCACTGGAAGGCTTCTGGGACCCAGTGTGGGTAGCCTCAGTGGGTGGCTCTCTGTTCACACACAGCTATCCTTTTGTCCCCAGAGTGGCTGGGACAGGCCAAGTTCCCACGGGCCTCTTTGGGTGTCTCTGGAGGGACAAGCTCCTCCAGGCCCCTCCTCCCTGTAGAATGCACTGGACTGCCAAAGTCCCCCTCCTCCTCTGCTGCTCTTTGAGGGACCCTTCTGGGTTTGACAGCTGAGCCAGCATCCCAAACGTGAATCCCGGTGGGCATCTTTTAGGCGACCCTCCAGTCCTATAGTCTGTTCCGTAGCATGTAGTTCATACTGTATATAGATAGGGTAGGCTAAATACCATACTGAAGGGGGGTTAAGGATGGGGTGGGGGACTACATATAATCTATCTGGAAGTCACCCTTTTGTGTTAACGGTGTCTCTCACGGAGTGAGGAGGTCAGTGGGTGGTGTTGCCTTTGCCTAGTTATGAGCCATCTATCCCCCCCCAACCAATAATCCTAAGGGTATATATACTAGGGTTTCTATTTAGCACCTCATCCCAGCCCCCAGTGCAGGGCAGGGCACATAGTAAAGGCGTGGTTACATGTCAGATAAAATGAGACAGCTTGGCACCTTTAGAAGTAGCAGTCAGCTTTTGTTTCCAGTGACGACCAGGTGTCCACTTTTCGACCTCTGGGGCTGAAGTGCCTACCGTCTCTTGCCTTAGATTCTGCCCTCCAAGACCTCCCACCGGGGGCCTGGACCACTGGGATCTGCTGACCCCGCGGCCCCGGGAGGCCCCACCCTCTCCAGGCAGGGGAGGGAGGGCACAGATTGGCCCAGGAACTAGTCTGGCCGCTCCCGCCTTCTGTCTACAGCCAGCGCTTCCGCCAGCTCCAGCCTCCCCGCAGCCGCTGCTCTGACCCAGGGGTCCCGGACTCGGCCCTGCCAACCATGGGGTCAGCATTGCTCTAGCACTTGGGTAAGACCACCGGTGCGCGGGGTCTCTCTTCCCCTTCTGGAAGGGCACACGTGTCCCTGGCGTCTCAGTTCCGTGGGTCGCCTCTCAGGTCGGTCTCTGTTGGGGACTGGCCGGTGCTTAGGTGCTGACCTCCGTGAGGAATGGGGAGGGCCCCAGGCTGGCCACCAGGGATCTGAGGGCTCAGACTTCCCAGAAGGTGCACCTTGTGTTGACTCACTTAGCATAAGGTGAGGTGAGAACAATTCCTGAGCAAAAGCCCAATCTGTGAAGTTGGGCCGGGCCCAGACCCTCAGCAGCTGGCCCAGTGGGAGGTCCCCTCGTCTCAGGAGCGAGCAGAGACTAGAATCCGTGTATCAGAACCTATCGGGCAGGATGGTATTCAGGGCTGGCTAAACATTGCTTCCCCGAAGGGGTTCCACCCTCTCCCCGCCTCCAGGAACGCTGCTGCTTCTCCTCTCCCTGGGCCAGGCACTGGGCTTCCCGTTGCCGTCCCTTACAGGATTTTTCTCCGCAAACTGTGGGGCGTGGAGCGAGCGCCTGGCTCTGAACAGTCCCCTCCGTTTCCTCTTCGGCTGGTGTCATTACTCTCTTCTTGGCCCCTCCCTTCATTGGCGCCCCACCCCCATCTGTATCTCAAAGCTTCCTTTAATCTGCCAGACCACACTGCAGGGCCCCAGAGGCTGGGGACCCTGAGAGGGTGCCGATATTGCACTGCATGCCTTGAGTTCTTCCACTCACAGTGTCCCCTTGCCTGTAATGGTCCTCCCTTCATCATTGCTAGATGCCCACGGAACATCTATTATGTTCAAGGCTCTCACTGCGAAGGGGCAGGGTGCTCTGATGCATCTGTTCCATTTCCACTGCCAGCTTACTTGAGGTAAAAAAGACGACGCCAGCATAAACCAACTGAACTCCAGAGAAAAAGCGCTAGGTGGGGATACAGTCTCCCTCCCATGCACAACCCACAGAGAGATACGGGGCTGCGAAGTGCGCGCCAATAGGTGCATGCGTCATGCAGACCACTGAGGCCGGGCCAAGGAGGCTTCCTGGAGATGGTGGCATTTCAGCTGCTGATGTGGGGTGCATGCGTCATGCAGATCACTGAGGCGGGGCCAAGGAGGCTTCCTGGAGATGGTGGCATTTCAGCTGCTGGTGAGGTGACAGACCGTCAAGTCTCGGCGCCTCATTATCCTATCCCCGCTGTAATGTGCCATCGATCTATCTCTCTGGTCCAGCAGAATTGACATCTCTAGGGATCCTCTTAGACAGGCATGTTCCTGGACTTACCTTCTGCTCTACTGAAACAAAAACCTTGGAGTATGGGGCTGGGAAGATAGCTCAGCAGTTGAGAGCACTGGTTGCTCTTCCAGAGGACCAGGGTTCAATTCCCAGCACCCCCATGGCTGCTCACAACCGTCAGTTCCAGGGCACCTGACATCTTCTCTGACTTCTAAGGGCACTAGTGGTACAAATTCATACTGGTGAAACATGCATACATATAGAATTAAAAAGAAAAGCAAACAAAAAACCTGGGTGGGGCCCAGCACCCTGGATGTTAAGGGGCCCTCTGGGATACGGGCTGAAGTTTAGGCCCTTCTAGGACCTAGGATAGACATCAGCACATGGGGCTGTGGTCTGGGTACTGGGGAAGGAAGAGGCTCAGAGATGAGGGAGATGTGGTCCCTGCCCTTGGGGCTCAGGTGTGTTGGAAGGGAAGGAGAATGCCCATGGAAATATCTCTTAGTAACAGACAGGGCAGAACCTCCGAGGGCTCACAGGAACCAGCTTAGACAGACATAGTTCTGTGAGTCTCAGGAGTCTCTGTAGTGTGTGTGTGTGTGTGTGTGTGTGTGTGTGTGTGTGTGTGTGTGTGTGTAAGAGAGAGAGAGAGAGAGAGTACGCCAGAGTTACTTTCCTCAGTTGCTTTAATTTATTTCATTTGTTATTATTAACTATGTGTGCATGTATGACGTGTATGGGGGTCACCTGTGTCACACACTTGTGGAGGTCAGTGGACAACCTACCTGTGTCACACATTTGTGGACAACTTTGTGCAGTCATTCTCTCCTTCCACCTTTATGTGGTTCAGGGGGTTGAATTCAGGCTGCCAGGCTGGCCTTGTTGGGCAGTGTCTTAGTCAGGGTTCTGTTGCTGTGAAGAGACACCATGACAAATGCTTTTCTTCTTTTTCTTTTTCTTTTTTTGAGACAGGTTTCTCTGAAGCTTTGGAGCCTGTCATGGAACTTGCTCTGCAGACCAGGCTGGCCTCAAACTCACAGAGATCCTTCTGTCTCTGTCCTCCGAGTGGTGGGATTAAAGGCGACTTTTATAAAAGAAGTTGGGGGCTTGCTTACAGATTCAGAAGTTTAGTCTGTTATCAGCATGACGGGGATCATGGAGGCCCTCAGGCAGACATTGTGCTGGAGAAGTAGCATTCTGTATCCAGATCCACAGGCACAGGCAACAGATCAATACTGCACCTGGCTTGGGCTTTTGAGACCTCAACACCCACCCCACACCTCCTCCGACCTATTCCAACAAGGCCACACCTATTCCTTCTCGTAGCTAATGACCAAGCATTCACATATACGAGCCTACGGGGGTCACTGGAGTTCAAACCACCATAGGCAAGCACCCACGCATGCTGAGCCACCCATGGTCTCACTTTACCTTTTGAGACAGGGTCTCTCAGTGAACCTGAAGCTTACCCATTCTGCTAGATAGGCTGGCCTGCAAGCCCCAGGGGTGTTGCATATCTCTGCCTCCCTAATGCTGGGATACCACCACTGCATCCAGCTTTTTACATGGGTGCTAAGGAGCCAAACTCAGGTCTTCAATAACAAACACCCTGCAAAACGAACCATCTCCCCAACCACTACCCCCATTCAGAAAATATTTATTTTTAATTAGGTTTAGTAGGTGTGTGTGTCTGCATCTGGGTATGTGTACATGAATGCGAATGACCGTGGAGCTCGGAGACATCGGATCTCCTAGAGCTGGAGTTACAGATGGCTGTGAGTCACCTAACATGGGTGTTGGAACCGAACTTGGCTCCTCCGGAAGAGTAAGTAGCAAGTGCACTTTACCACTGAACCAGTTCCCGCCTTCTTTTTTTTTTTTTAATGATGATGTCTAACATGGTATTATAGTAGCCTGAAACTCACCATGTAGCCTAAGGCTGGTCTTGAACTCATAGCCATCCTCCTGCCTCAGCTTCCAGAGCGTTGGGATTGCAGGCATGTTGTTAGCACACTTGGTGTCCATCTTGCCATCTTGAAGCTGTAACTTCAACTTCTCATTTGCAGATAGAAGACAAGAACTCCCAAGGACGGTGCGATAGCCCTTGATTCCCAGAGCAGAGGCTTTGAGAGAGGAGAGGACTTGCTCAGAGTCCTGGGCGTGGCAGTGAACTCAGAGCCTTTGGCAGAGGTGTGTTATCAGCTGTGTGGTGACTGAAGTGGAATCAGGGGGCAGAAAAGACTGTTCCTTCTGCTCTGTGCTGGCCGTGGTGCCCAGGATGCATCCCTTCCCAACCCCAAGGATCATCCTTGTGGGTAGGGACAGGACCAGCAAGGAGCCTGAGTCACAGAAGGACTTGTCCTCAGTCACTTGTCCAACCTTTCCCTTTGACCTCCAAGACTTTTTTGTCTCATCCAGTATGAGTGTCAAGGCCTCTGGCTCAAATCTCTTGCAGAAGTGACAGAGGAAAGGGGACATCCTGGAGGGCTTTAACCTGTTGATGGCCATGGCTGCTGACTACTGCGTGGCGTGCATGGTGGACTTTGGTAGGTGCCTCCTTTAGAAGAATCACCAGTTTATAAGGAAGTGGTGTTAGGGGCTGGTGTACTGTCTCAGTTCAGCCATTGCTGGATGCCGGCAGCCTGGGCATAGGAGCCAGCGGGCAGCACTCTAGAAGGTGAAATCCTGGCAGGTGGGTCTGGTGTATCTCTAGGAGGCTTTGGCAGCTTCTTGGCATCCTGCCATGCTCCAGCCTGCCCTCTTGTGGATGAATGGGATCCCTGGCAAGAGAGCTGGAACTCTGGGACCCTGGAGCCAGTCTGTTAGCTAAGGGGGCTGGAGTTTGAGTCTAGAAGCACAGAGTCTGGTAGTGCCAGTAGGTGGGCAAACAGTCTCCATTTGGCTGCGGCCCAGCTGTCGGGTGCTAGGGAGCCTTCTGTGCTGGGGTTTTGTGTGTGTGTGTGTTGGGGGGGGTGGGAGGGAGGCGCAGAGGGCGGATTGAGGAGAGGCCAGGACATGGGGCGGAGATATTAGCAGCTGGCTCCAGAGGGCCTGAGCTTGGGAGGAGGAGCCGTGAGAAGCCGGCTGCTTTTGGAGCTGCCGGCTGCCTGTGGCTCAGGTGACCAGAGGCCCTCTAGGAGCCTGCAGACCTCCCCCAGAGCCTGGCAACCCAGCAGGCGGAGCAGCAATGATCCAGAATGTGGGAAACCACTTGCGAAGGGTACGGAACGGTGGGTTAGGGTGGTCTGGGAGCCAGATGGGCCCCCCGATGTGGGGCGCAGAAAGTAGATGCTTCCCTCTTAAGTCAGGATCTGCATCTCCAGCCTCACTTGTCTGTTCTGTAGACCTCTCTGGAAGGAGAGATCACAGAACCCATGGGCTTCTTAAATTATAACTAGTAGACTCCCCAAAGAGCCCCAGGGCCAGTAGGCTCCCTCAGGCTGGCAGTTTGTGGCTTCGTGAAATGTCCTTTGTAACAAGTTCTGGAATTCTGTTTGGGTTGAATGTATGTCCTGTGCACATACTGCTGCCGTGTGTGTGTGTGTGTGTGTGTGTGTGTGTGTGTGTGTGTGTGTGTGTGTGTGTGAGACCTGTGCACAATTCTGCTGCTTTCTGAGCTCAGGGCTCTGTCTCCCGACCTCCCCAGCTCAGGACTCCAAGCCTATGGACCTGACAGAATTTACAGTGTGGGGTTGTGTGTACACAGGCGAGAACAGGAGAGTAAGGCATGGCCATGTGAGGAAAAGGCCACGTGGAAAACGTCCTGCGGAGTGACCTTCCAGAGTGTTTTTTCCTGGAACCTCCTAACTGGAACTTTGGAGCAGAGTCAGGTGCTGAGGTCCCAGAAACACCCAAGTACTCAGTGACTTACTGGGGGCCTTTGGCCTGGTGCCTGGAGAAGGACTCAGGACAGCCTGTGCTGGGCACAGTAGCTGCCAAGTGAGGACATTTCAGAAGAGGCAGTTAACAAAGAGCTCTGGGGCAAATACCTGTCTCAGGGACCTCTTTGCCAGCTGCCACTCAGCTCAGCATCCCTGCGCAGCCCCAGGGACCTTGTCCCCTTAGCATCTCATGCAGTCCCTTCCATCCGCTCTCACAGCAGAGGGTAAAGTAACTGTGGCACTTGCTCAGACTTCCCTAGCAGGTCCCCATCTTGGTGGCGTGCTTGTCCAGGTCTCTCTTCAGGCCCCATCGTCCATCCCTCTGTGCTCATGTGGCACCATACTGCTTGGCTTCCTCTGCCTCAGTGGCCCCCTGGGCTCTCTGCAGCGGCTGCGTGTTCCCTACCTTCCACCAGTGGTCTCAGCCTCCCTGCCCCTCCCCCAGCCTCTGTCTCCCCACCAGTCACTTCCTTTCTCAGCCCCCAGATTCAGCTGGGGTGCTGCCTCCCCTGGAAGGCCTGCCTAGACTTGTTTGTTTGCTTGTTTTCGAGACAGGGTTTCTCTGTGTAGTTTTGTAGACCAGGCTGGCCACGAACTCACAGAGACCTGCCTGCCTCTGCCTCCCAAGTGCTGGGATTAAAGGTGTGTGCCACCGCCGCACGGCTCTTCCTAGGTTTTTTTTCTCGACATCATGTACCCTTTGTGAGTATTGCTGTCACTAGGAGGGAAGCTTGGCTTGTAGCTCCATCTCCATACCCCAGGGAACTTTACAAGATGTGATCGGTGTGCCTCGGCCTGGCCAGAGGCCAGGGGATACCTAGAGAATGAACGTGGGCAGACTGTTCTCAGCCAGGCCCAGGGTGGAATCTGAGCCGTGGGGCCTCTTGCTTCTGTCCCCTGAGCCCAGGGTAGCCTCATGCTGTGACTTGGCCAGGCCACATGCTAAGCCCATGCGCCTTTAGTTTGATCTGCTCAGCATGACAGGTCCTTTTTACCATCCCACGGTGGCTAATCTTCACCTCAGCTTGACTGGGTTCAGAACCTGGGTATGTCTGTGAGAGTGTTTCTATAGAGGTCTAAGTGAGGGGGGGGAGACCCGCCCTGAATGTGGATGACGCAATCCTACAGGCTGGGACCCTGGACTGAGTAAAAAGAGAGAAAGGAGAAAGTATCAGGGTATCAGCACCATCTGTCTATGCTTCCTGACTGTGGACGCAGTGTGACCACCTGTCCGTGCCTCATAGACTGTGTTCCCTCAAACCGTTAGCCAAGATGAGCCCTTCCGTCCTTGAGCTGTCCTTCAGGTGTTTGGTTATAGCAGGAAGGAAAGTAACTAATACTCTCCACCCTGCTGCTCACAGATGAGAAATAACTCAGGCTCAGAGGGGTCAGCAGCCTGTGGGGTCACAGAGGCAGGGAGTGGCAGAGCTGGGATTTGAACTCAGTGGTGCTGGTTTGAGAGCTTTTCTGGACATGAGGCTTAGCATTTCCACCCTGAGCCCTGACTCAAACTCAGTTGTGTCTAGCCTCTGGCTGTGGAGCTGGGTGTTAGGTGTGGAAATTGGGCCATAGGGACCTCACATTAGTTGAAAACGACATCGATCGCCACCTTTGAACTTGTGCCTGGTTGGCAGAACTTGAATTTCTGTGACCTCTTTTTAATTTCCTTTGCTCCTATGGAAAAAAAAAAAAGGAGAATTTTGGGACGCTTTCTTTTTCTTGCTTCTGAGCTGTTTTTATTTTTAGATTTGAGGCAGGGCCTCATGTAACCCAGGCTGGCCTCAAATTTGATGAAGATGTTGTCAAAGATGACCTTGAACTTCTGATCCTCAGTTCCAGCCTGGTCCAGGTCTGCTCCCAATGAGGCTTAGGAACTGTTTTGACTCTACAGCTGGTGATGGGCTATTTGGCCCCATTCCCCTGAGACGCCTGCCCAGCTGGTGCTAATGGCAAGCTGATGGAGACCCCAGCCAGCAGTGGGCGCTCATGGGACCGTGTGCTACTGCAGACCTCCATAGGACCCGCTGCCTCCTGTGAAGCCCAGGGCAGTGAGAGTGGCTTCTCCGTCCTTCATCCTCCCCAGCCTCCCCAGGGGTCTGGTTTGGGAAACAGCCCTTGGATTGGAATCTTGTCTTTTCCCCTCCCCCTACCTCTTCTTTCTCTTGTTTTGTTTTGAGATAGTTTCACTATGTAGCACAGGATGGCCTCCTATTCCTGGTCCTTCTGCCTCAGCTTCCTGAATAATGGGATTACAAGTATGTGCCATAGTGCCAGTCTTGGATTAGAATCTCATTTTCAGGTCTGGGAAGTTGACTCAGTAGGTGCAAAACAAGAGGAAATGTGTTCAAGTCCCAAGCACCTATGCCAAAAGCTTGGCACAGCTGCGTGAGCCTGTGTTCCCGGTATAAAAGGGTGGAAACAGGTAGACCCTGGGAACTAGCTGAGATTGTAGCTTAGATAAAATGGTCAGCTTCTAGTTCAGTGAGAGACCCCCACCTCAAAGCAATAATGTGGAGAGGACAGGGCACTTCTTCTGACCTCATGCATGTGCACAGGCTTGCATACCTGCATATTCACATGTATGCACCTCACACATGTATACCACACACACAAAACACTCACATGCAAACATACACACAGAGGGAAAAGAATCATGTTTACGCATTACTCTCTGTGACTTTAGGCCAGGTGTTTGTCCCTGAGCCCCTGGGTGCTGGGTGATCCTAGAAGCCCCCCAGCCTTGCGTCTGAATGTTTGTGAGGTGTCGGCATACAACTCCCATGGTGGCAGGAGAGGGGAGGCCTACAGACAGAAAATAATGATGCCCCGTCATACGGCAGGACTCAAAAGGCTGAATGGATGAGTGACTCCAGGGGCTGAAGGGGCTGAGGTGGTTCTGGAAGGCTCTCTGGAGAACTGAGGCTCAATAGATTGTTCAGGAGCTGCATATGAACTGCAGACTCAGCCACCAGAAGACACCCACAGTGTTCTCAATCTGTCTAGCTGATTTGTTTTTATCCTTCAAAACACAGCTCGGCCATCACTCCCCCTTTGACTACTATCTGGGCCCAGAGCTAACAATGCCCCTTTACAAGGTTTTATACCCAGATCACTTGCTCCCTTCATGGGTGTTTACTGAAGGTATGACAGGTGCCAGAGTATGCTGTGACTTGTGACAACATGGATCCCTACTGTTGAGCCAGTAGAGGAGGGACCGTAAAGGCAGGCAAACCATGACAATGGAAACCTACCGTAAATAACAGTGAATAACAGTAATAATGTGTGAATAACAGTAATGATGAGTGTCATATTAAATAGTACCCATGTCTGAGCATGCATGAACTCAGTCCTTATAACTCCGAATGAGCTATATTAAAGATGAAATGAGACAGAGAGGTTAAGTCACCTTCCTGAGGTCACACAATTGTCAAGTGACATTGAACGGCTTGAAACTCAGGCTATCTAGAGAGCAAGACCTGAGGGGTTGGGAGTGGCGTCCTGAGTAGATGACATCTGAGCAGGAGGCCTGGAGGCTGAGCAGGGGGTCTCAGGGAGGCTCATCTGGGCAGAGGGAACCTTCCCTTGCAGGCTTTAAGGCAGGGGAGTGCCAGGGGTCTGAGCTGCTGGATGGAGTTTTAGTGGCCTGGGCCTGGGAGGAGCAGCTG